ATGCCATAAAGTGTCTTGCCGAATGTCTACTCCACTGCATAAACCATTCACCTGCAAGCAGGGGCAGCTGATCAATCAGATCCATGGCTTGTCCCCAGGCTGGAACAGACAGAATTTGAGCAGGTTGCACAGCCAGAATTGATTTACGGTATCGCAACCTGAAAGCACTTCCGCACAGGCAATGGGGAAGGACAGACAAGTTCTAGCACTGGAGCAGCTCCATGTGGAGAGGATGCCAAGGACTATGGGATAAACACCTATGAATACAGGCTTGGAATAACAAGTAGCTATAGTCATTGTGGACACAGCTACATAGGGTATGGCACATGTGCATCTCTGCAGTGTGGACTGGCAGCAGGCTTGACTGACATGTGGACAAATGCATATGAGCCAAGACATGGGTAAACTCTCAATGTAGACATATCCATAGTCAATGGTATATTACAGAGGTGGGCAAACAACGGCCCGCCGGCCACATCTGGCCTGCAGGATCGTCCTGCCCGGCCCTTGAGCTCCTAGCCAGGGAGGCTAGCCCCTGGCCCCTCCCCTGCTGTCCCCTCTCCCCCACAGCCTCAGCTTGCCATGCCGCCAGCGCTCTGGGTGGCGGGGCTGGCTCCGGCCGGGCGGCATGGCTGCCAGTCCTGGTGTTCTGAGCGGCATGGTAAGGGGGCGGGGAGCGGGGGAGTTGGATAAGGGGCAGAGGGTCCCGGGGGGCAGTCAGGGGACAGGGAGCAGGGGGCAGTTGGATAGGCGTGGGAGTCCCAGGGGGCCTGTCAGAGGGCGGGGGTGTGGATAGGGGTCAGGGGACAGGGAGCGGGGGGGGTGGATAGGGGGTGGGGTCCCGGGGGGGGCGGTTAGGGGCGGGGGTCCCAAGAGGAAGCAGTTGGGGGACAAGAAGCAGTGGGGCTTGGATGGGTCAGAGGTTCTGAGGGGGGCAGTCAGGAGGTGGGGAGGGGGAGGAGGCTGATAAGGGGTGGTGGCCAGGCTGTTTGGGGAGGCACAGCCTTCCCTACCCAGCCCTCCATACAGTTTTGGAATCCCGATGTGGCCCTCAGGCCAAAAAGTTTGTCCACCCCTGGTATATTAGCTCTCCTGTAGGGATAGGCATAACACGTATTAACATTAATTTACTCCACAGCGTATTTCTTTTTCTGGGCCCAAATACCACTGAGAGGAAGCATCAAATTACAATTTTCAAATGAGGTGTTCGGATTCAGGCTTTCTATTTTCCAATTAAAAAACCCAGGGTGCTTTTTCCTTTTGTGAATCAAATAAGTATGAAGAAAAGAAGAGGGACAACTGAACTCCAACTGGGCTTACCAGGTTAGAAAGCTACCAGACTCTAAGGGGGAACTAATGGTTCAAAACATTGGTAATATTAAGTTCACACTGACTAGGAACAGATTGAGCAGTAAATCTGCAGGGTCACAGAGAATAATGGATGAAGAGGAAATTGGATGGAAAAAGGATTTCCTATTTCAAATATTTTATTTTGTAGAAAGGGAGTTGGGAGGAGGAGCTATACAAATAGGACAGGCATACAAACCATAATATTTCTTCTTAGGAATACGTTCTGCACCCCACTATTTCTAATATCTTAGACAGAGGTCCAGAAACAAAGGCTCCATCCCACTAAACTTCTTTTTCTTATCTTATCTTCTTGTTCTTATCCTTTTCTAACCATAACTAGGATCTCTTTGTTGGGAAGAATGGGTTTATTTCTTTCAAGCCATATTCTGCTCTCTCTACACATGTGGATATCCCTATCTACCAAGGTTTTGAAGGCATTAGAAATGCCTTGTATGGATAAATTAGACAGCTAGACACCAGTGAAAGATTTGTATCTTTCTAAGTGGCTTATATGGTCCCCATCACCTTATCATAACACCTCACAATCTTTAATGCCCTTATCCTCACAACACTCCTGTGAAGGAGGAAAGTACTATTATCCCCATTTTACAGATGGTGAACTGAGACACCGAGAGATTAATCAATTTGCACAAGATCATACAGGAAGTCTGTGGTGAAGTAGGAAATTGAACTTGGGTCTCCTAAGTCCTAGCTAAAGCCCTAATTCCTGGACCTTCCTTCTCTCCGGTGCCTGTAAGAAGAGTGAAATATGGGGACTGAGCTCTGCTCTTGGAATCAAAGAGGAGCATTTGGCTTATTGTTCTAGCTACCTGATTACAGAGAACATTTGATGTTCTTGTTGCTATCCGTATTGTAAGGGTCTGCATTCATTTGGAAGACTTAAAACTGCCTTCTGATGCATTCATATTAGAATTGCCACATTTGAGAATGTGTTCAGTGAGCAGAGGTGAAAGTGGGCCAGTACGGGCTGGTACGGTGTACCGGTAAGAAGTGGCTGCTGGTACGGGCCCGTACACAGCTGATGTTAAAGCGCTGACGTCGCTAACCCTTTTGCCCCCCCGTCGGCGGCCCTGCTAGTAGGGTCACCGGGGTCTGGTGATTTAAAAGGGCCCAGGGCTCCCGGCTGCTGCTACCGCGGCAGCCACTGGAGCCCTGGGCCCTTTAAATCACCACTGGAGCCCTGGGCAATGTGGGCCAGGCAACGCTGAAGGGCTAGCTGGGGGAGGCTGACCCCCCCAGCCCCGCCCCTTCTGACCAAAGCCCCACCCCTTCCGGGGGCCAGGTAAGACTTTTAAGTTACTTTCATCCCTGTCAGTGAGACAAATTTGGGCACCATGATGTTGCAACGTTTCACTCACAATATGATGATATTGCTTCGAAATGGCACCATGTTAGACAAAACATCAGAACATAGTGACATAGTGTTACCATGTGATGTTGTTTTGCTGGCTCCAAAGTTATTTCAGGCTCATTTAAGGTCACAGGTTCGCCCTATCAATACTCAGGGCAATTCCTAAAGGGGCAAACCAAGATGGGTTACCACATTGCCATTATTATTATGTGTACTCTGGCAGTACCTCAGGTACCTCGAACAAGGATCAGGGGACCCCATTGTGCTAGATGTTGTCCATGCGTATAACATGAAAAGATGGTTCCTGTCTTTCCATTCTATGTATCTTGTAATATCAGCTCCTGCACTTTAGCACATATGGAGGAAGCTCCTAAAGCTTTAAGGAGATGACCAAATATGCCTAGGCTATAGAATTTTATTTTAGTCCATTTCCCATGTGCTTCCTTCTGAGAGCGAGAAGAGGAAAGAATTTGATTTATTTAGTTTACCTAGAAAATCTCAGTGGCATATAAATATTGTGTTTCCAGGAGCATCCAGAGTGAGATTTAATTATAATGCTTCCCTCCACTCTGCACAGCATTCTCACTACGTCAACCCAACCACAAATGTGCCTTATGCAGCTATTTTTAGGTCTGAAATTGTATCCAGGTTAGAACTGGATTAGTGACAGCACACTGCTTAACCTTCAAGGCAGAAGCTCAAGACTGAGCCATTTCAGTGTTTCCAGCTGGGAATCATGCCTTTAGCAAAACACAATACTGTTCATACAGTACATGGTGGTTTCCTGGCTGTGAATACTCAGTGCATATGAAAGGGTAGTATTATAAGTTGATTGGACCTCAATCCTTGGGCAATTGTGCCAAGAAATGATGGTTCTAGACAAGCAATTTACAGAGTGACATCAAGAATCTGTGTGTCCTTCCATAGGAAATTCCTTTCTCTATGCCAGCACTTGCAGATGAATGGATGAATTTACAACGTTGTGAATGGAACTTCTTCACACAACGTACAGCCAATCTGTGGAACTTATTCCCAGGGGATTTTGTGAAGGCCAAAACTATAATTGGATTAAAAAAAATTATTGAAGTTGATGGAGAATAGGTCCCTCAATGGTTATTAATCAAGATGGTCAGGGATGCAACCCCATGCTTTGGGTGTCCCTAGCCTCTGACTGCCAGAAGCTGGGAGTGGACGACAGGGAATGGATCACTCAATGATTGCCCTGTTCTGTTCATTCCCTTTGAGGCATCAAGCATTGACTACTGTCAGAAGACAGGATATTGGGCTAGATGGACCATTGGTCTGACCCAGTATGGCCTTCCTTATGTGTCTCTTGAGATTACAATGATGTCATAGCTACACCACAGGACTGAAGGTCAGGAGACCTAGGTTACATTCCCTGTATTGCCAGTAAGACTTCCTCTGTGACCTTGAGAAAGTCACTTAATGGCTCTCTGCTTCAGTTTCCCCATCAGTAAAATGTGGACAATAATATTTATTTTCAGGTAAGTCTTAAATAATTATTGTTTATAGAGTGCTTTGAGATCTTTGCATGAAAGGTACTCTATGAATGCACAGAATTATTATGACAACTGATGATTTCCAAAAGCAATCAACACTTATCACTATAATATTCAAGCATTGTTTGAGAGTGACATTATTTCATGGAAAGGAAGAACCTCTCAACTTTGAATGTACTAAGAATACGTGTATCTTTGCAGGATGACAGAAAGGCACAAAGAGTTCTGTGACTTCTGGCTTCCCAAAAGATGCACTGTATGGCATCAGGCATCCTGGAAGCCACAAAAAGACCATCTGAAATATGTCAAAATGTATGCATCATCCACAGGCAGTCTTTTTACAGGGGTACTGTGGCCAAGAGGCAAACAGAGAGAAATTGAAGCAAAAAGGATTTAGATGGAGTTCAGATTACAGTTATATTCTCAGTTCATAACACTAGGAAATTAGTAGAAGGCCCACAAGATAACTGTTGATGTTGGAATGTGCAATTCCCCTTCATTCAGGGCAATGGAACCCTATGTTTTCTGTGTCTTTGTACACTGAATTATAGTAAATCAAGAAGAGAGAGTTTATTATGACCACCTTGAGTCTGTAAGTACCAGCTGAGACAGAATGTTTTGATTGGTAGCAAGTGGAGTCATTAATGCTCCCACTGGCCCACCCCCTCTGTTGGAAGTGAAATGGTTTAGAAGTGGTGAAATGGAGGATACAAGGTGATGGGAAACCTAAATTGCAACATAAAATCAACAGTGCCTACCTGTACCTCACTAAGCCCACACTGTGGAACATCTGATTCCTGTTGCCTCTCATGATTTTTTCTGGAGTGAGATTGAAGAAATTCTTTGTATCTGGGAATATCCTGATTTTGCCTGATAAAATCTTCAAGCCTTAAAACCTAGGTTGGCAGGTGAGAACAACAACAACAGATGAAAACTTCCCTATCCCCAAAACCCATCTGCTTATCTTTAATGTAATCCCAGAGAAGCAAGTTACAGGTCAGTTAATTTGTTATTCTGGGCAGGACATCAAATGTAATGAGATGGAAAAGCAAATATGGTGTTGAGCATCATCAGTGCATTTCACCATTGCACTGAATTGACTTGTAATATGATGAGAACAAGGAATTTCCTGACCTCTGATAGCTTGTTTCCCATGAGATAAAATGTTAAAAATGCTCACAGGCAAAAATCTCTCAGAAGCATATGAAAAGGAAATATTATGTATGGAAAGTTTTAAAACAGGTAACATTTCCCTAAGAGACCTGGCTGTTGCAAGGGAAAAAGCTGTGAGAAGATAAAAATGCATTCCAGATTCATGTAGATCAAAATTCACAATTGTCAGCATTCTTACAGGTGTACTGTTTCCCAGGGTAAAGAAGTGCTTTCGTGAGGGTTCTGTTTTTATTTTGACAGGCAAATTATTTATCGAACCTTCAGTCATTATACTCCATAGGATAAACATTTTGACAAATGTACTTATTTGGAGAATGCATATTATTTAGCCCATAGACTATACACAACAAGTGCTACAAAGGAATAATCAAGATTTTAACATGTCTCAGACTTATTTTTCAGCTGGATTCTGTATTAGAATAGACACTTCTATGCTAAAAATGAATTAGGGATACACTGTGACTTAGCACAGCCCTTAGCAAGGCCTGGTGTAAGCTACAGCACCCTGGGAGACACTATGACTCAGAGACACACCTCTGGGTCACAATTCCTCCCCTGCATCCTTTTCTTTCCTGGGAGTGGGGTGCGACTAATTGCTGCCCTGTACCAGCAGTAAATTACTATCTATCCCATGCTAGCTCAGCTACTCTGGCTAGGGAGCATGGAGGATAGAGCCAAAGTTCCATCCATTCCTTTCCCCTCTCCGCCATGTGCTCCATGGAACGAGTAAGCAGGCAAGCAGCCTCACTTCTAGGCACCTGGATCCAAGATCTGGGGGAGCCCATATAGGGGAGCTAGTAAGGTTCTTATTCCCCTCTTGCATGGGCACATAGTCCAAGTCACGATCTTGCCCTCATTAAGTCAAATTTCTCATTAGAGAGCTATGGAACAAAAAACAAAAACAACAAAAAAAGGAGTAAGCCTATATGCTCAGTGAAAATTAATATCATTTTGTTAAAATCTTTGTTGACATTTAAAAATAATAATTTCTGATATTTCTACCGATAGTCTTTGCAAATTTCCTTGAAGGATATCGCAGACAGTAAGGATTATGAATCTCATTAAGAACCTTCCGAATGAGAAGAAAAATTAAGAGTCCTTTTAATATCAGGTGGATTTATGCCCAGCATACCTCAAGTGAAGAGTCCTGAAGTTTCCTACTTAGGGCTTCTTTCTCCTTCTCTAGCTGCTTTATTTCATTCTCAGCATTCTTTCTTAATTCCTCTAACTGTATCTGAACCTCCTAAAAGTAAATAAAACAATTAAAAATGTGTAGGACCATGCCCAGAGTAGACATCATAGAAGGAAGGAAAGAAAGTGTCTCAGTAGGGTGGAAGAGATATGGACAGTATGTTTCAGGAACATGAACAGAGGCAGATCACAGCAGTCCATACAGTTCTATGAAAGCTAATAATAATACTTAAGCACTTGAATGGCACTTGTCATCCAAGGATCATCACAGCTTTTTGCAAAGGAAGTTAAGTATCCTTGTCCCCATTTTAGATCTATCTGCCTGTTTTAATTAGGGTTTTCTGTTGCACCCATCACTGTAGTGCTGTTGGATGATGAATCAGACACAGAGAAGGGAAGTGATCTGGCTGAGGTCACAGAATAAATCAGTAAGAGAGCTTAAAATAATGGTCTTGACTGGAAGCCAGTCCAGAGCTAGATCACATTGTCCCTTAGCAAAGGATTGCAAAAGCATTGGCAGAGAATGCATATTAATAGATACAATGAAGTTCAGTTACTAATTTCTGCATTTTAGAAAATACAGTTATGAATCAATATTATGAAATCATATCTCATTACTTTGCAAGCAACTTTTATGTGGAAAAACCATTCAATGCAAGTCTCCTACAAACAACCCATTAGAAACTGTTATCCTTGACACTGATGATGCTTCCAGCATAACTGAATTGTGGTGAGGAATTCCATGTGAGGGCGGGAGGGAATTTCAGCTGAAGAAATCAGATACACTTTCTCACGGCTTATTTTCAGGATTCACACTCTGTCGTGTCTCTTCAGATTCAGCAAGGCTGTTTCCATGCATTCTGCACAGCCATAACAGTTTACTCAATAATAGATACTGCTGTCCTGTAGTGTCTCTCCTTACATTAATTACAGAGTCATCTAAGTGTTTTGTTCTGTTTCCATGATCAGCATAGACTTACACTGGCTGTTGTCTCAATCTTCCACCAAAAAGCAGCTTGGAGTATTAAAACTGCAGTGGGTAGACAACATTTGTCTGATATTGCATCTATGTTCAAGAAGGGTTAATCTAAAGTTGTATTAAGGTGCAAACCATCCACCACATTTTTAAAGATGTATTCACTATATAATCAAAGTCTGATGACTGGTAATCTCAGTAGAGTTTCTAGTGGAAAGGTGTGCACATCTCAGAAATCACCATTACAATTGCAACCTTAATGACAACCCCAGTGGAGAAATCAAGAATTAAATGAAGATTGAACTGCCACCTCTCACCCTTAGAAACTGTCCCTCCAGTTCAAGGTTGATGCCCATTGGCAAGAGAGTGATTGGAAGCTTGCAGTGATGCTGCCCATGCTGTATCTGCTCAATGGATGGAGGAGTTCAGTGTTGAGGGTTGTCAATCCAGTGCTTTTATAGTTAATTAAATCTCCTTTCAGGGCATGCACAACTTTGTACACATCATTGTCAAAGCAGAAGGTGGGGATTTAGCCAGTTTAACTCATCTAACTCCCTGTGCTCTGAGCTGAATATGTATCCCTTAGTGTCTGAATATCGTCACAGTTAGAGTGCTCATTTGCTGTAGAAAGACTGAATATGCAACTCCTAAATATTTCCTTAAGCAATCTGGTATTTGAAGTTCATTTGCATACTTGCTCATCTCATCTGTGTCAACTTGCTGACTGAAAACATTTCTGCAGCAGGTCTTGAGAGACCACTTCAGGGGAGGGGAGGAGGGAGGACCGAGGGGAAGGGGGAGGGTGAAGATGCCAATTCTAAGAACTTCAGGCCCAATGGAACTCTATAATGTTTAAAGCAGAATGACTTAAAAACATTCAGCATAACAGAATGTGAATGTAAACTCCTGAAGAGACAAGTAATACACCTCTATCCCGATATAAGCTGTCCTCAGGAGCCAAAAAATCTTACCGCGTTATAGGTGAAACCACGTTATATCGAACTTGCTTTGATCCACCGGAGTGCACAGCCTGGCCCCGCCCCCCCGGAGCGCTGCTTTACCACGTTATATCCGAGTTCGTGTTATATCGGGTCGCGTTATATCGGGGTAGAGGTGTATAATTAAAAGGAAGGTACAATGCTAGCAAACACAAGCAAAGACCATGGAGTAATGAGGATTCCTCATAGCTAATAATTAAGCAAATGGAAATCTAGCACCAATTCACAGTGTGGAGGTGCTGTGAACTGGCTGGCAGAGATTGACAGAGAACTGAGAACAGAGTTGGAAAAGACAAAATTAGTTTTCGAAGAAAAGGAGAAGAACAAATGGTCTTGTGGTTAAAGTACTGAAGATCAGAGGCCTACACAGGTTTCCTGTGTGACCTTTGGCAAGTCACTTAACCTCTCTGTACATCAGTTTTCCTAGCTTGAAATGAGGGTATCATCATAATCTCCCTACCTCATGAAGCTGTTGAGGGACTTAACTCATTAGATCCTGGGATAGGAGTAACAGTAGCAATGAAAAATATTATTTGACAAAAACAAGTTTTATTTTACTGTTTATAGAAGATGCCCCCAAGCAGTACCTATTTCTGTGCATTTATTATTGATAAACAAACTAACTCACATTTGAACCTGGAAGTTTAAATTGTGCACACAGAAAACTTCCTGTGGCCTTTCCCAGCGCCATTTGGCATACAGATTAGATTGCTCACCAAGATATGTGCTATTCAAAAACAAGGGTCGGATTTTCAGAAGGAGGCTTCCTTTTGTGTGTGTACAATTTTGCCTATTCAAACACCTGAACATGCCACGTTCAAACACTTGCACTTTCATGGTCAGGCGATGGAATTTTCCACACATGGTTCCCTTTTTGACAAATGGGGTTTTGTGCATTTAAACTCTATCGCTTCATGCACATGTATTAGTGCTTCAAAAAGTGTTTGCACAGCGCCTAGCACAATGGGGTCCAGCTCTTGGCTGGAGCCTTTGAATGCTATTGTAATATAGATATATATTATTATTATTAATGAGAGCATGTATGCAGATGTTTTGCACTTGCAAACATGCATACACATAAAAGGGGGCCAGGCTGTGACCCCTTAAAAAAACAGGGTAGAAAAACTATGGTTTTTTTTAAATAAAAAAATTGAAGGGTTTTTTAAATTTAAATTGGGTTTTTTTAATTTAAATTAAATAAAGGTTTATTTAAAATTAAATTTGAAATTTACAACTTATGTTGAGGCCTAAACTTATTATAATCCATGAAATAGTTTAAATAACTACAAAAAATATTAAACAGTACATGTTTGTTGCCAAGTTTTAAACAAAGTCAAACCACTGAATGGGTGGAAGTCACTGGCTAAGCACTAGAAGCCAAGTTTGCTGAAGTGCTAAACCAGCTTTTGACATCAGTAGCCTCTTCTGCAGGTTCAGAGACAATATTTTCTTCATTACAGTTTATTCAACTAGATCAGTTCAATGACAAGTTCATTCAAAGTTAAGAAACCAACTGGGAGTTGAAACAGCCTGAAAGCTTGTTTTCCTCCACCAATCTATGAATAAAAATTAGATGTGAGAGAATGAGATCTCCTAGTTCATGAAGGGCACAGTGATCAGAAATAATCAGTTCAATTCATTAACTACAGATAATACTTCCTTTGTTTAATAAAATCAGTTCGTTTTAAATGCAAAACGTGTTGATAAACTTTTTTTTAACGTATCCAGCATTTAAGGTTGTTTTATTTAATTTTTAAAAAGCTGCTTTTTGCACTTTTAACTTGAAATTCCATCCAAATAGAACTTGATACAAATTGCAAGGGGAAAAAAGCATCATCTTGTAAAAAGTTAAGCTAAATAATTACTTAAATAAATGTATATAGATATAGGGCAGGGGTCGGCAACCTTTCAGAAGTGGTGTGCCAAGTCTTCATTTAATCACTCTGATTTAAGGTTTCGCATGCCAGTAGTACATTTTAACGTTTTTAGAAGGTCTCTTTCTATAAGTCTATGGTATATAACTAAACTATTGTTGTATGTAAAGTAAATAAGGTTTTTAAAATGTTTAAGAAGCTTCATTTAAAATTAAATTAAAATGCAGAGCCCCCCGGACTGGTGGCCAGGACCCGGGCTGTGTGAGTGCCACTGAAAATCAGCTCGCGTGCCGCCTTTGGCACGCGTGCCATAGGTTGCCTACCCCGATATAGGGTATCCTCCTGGTTAGCAAAAAGAAACACCAAATTTAGTGTTAAGGCTATACTTAGTTGCAAATCAATCTTTCTTTAGGAAAATAACTAAAAGGTACAGATGCAAAATTTGATTAAAATCGATTATTTAAATCAAAGTTTCCTGCTTGCTGATTTACATCATTTAAATCAAAGTGATTTAAGTCAATCCATCCTGTTTAAAAATTAGGCTCATAGTACAAATGAAAACTCAAACAGCTTTGCAATGTTACATGGAAGAACCTGCGTTCAATCCCCAGACTTTTGCTCCCCAGGCTCGCTGGGGCTAAGAGTACTACAAAACAAGGTACTCAGGAGCTGGCAAGCAGGGCAGAGTGCGTTACATGGCTTAGCAGCAACCTCCCTTATGCTCTTTACAAGGAGGTGTGCTCAGTGATTCTTAACCAGAAGTGGAACTCCAAGGACAAAAGTGTAAAAGCAAAGAAAATAGGGTAGGGAAGCCCTTGCATCTCCAACAAGGATGTAAATGACGCCCAGACCAGTTGGTCTGATTACCATGTCGTGTGCTCTAATAGTTTTGCTTATATATCTTTTAGGCAGAAATAAGCAAGTCCCATAAGGAGACAGAGGGCCAAATTCTTTTTTGATTTAGGCTCTGATTCAACATGCCATTTAAGTATATGCTTAATGTTAAGTCCCATTGGGATTTAAGCACCTGCTTCAAGTTAAACATGTGTTTAAGTGCTCTGCTAAATCAGGATGGATTTAACACTTTTATTTAGATGCTTTGCTGTATCGAAGCCCTTGCAATGTGCAAATTCACTGACCCCAAGAGAGTGCAACCCACAGATGCAAGGGCAGAATTTACCACAGAGGGTTATTTCTCAAGAGGAATCTCTTTAGCGACTGGGTGCCAATGCAATGCCAACAGTTTAAATTAAAGTGCAATATAGACTCCTACAGTATTTCCATGACTACTGGTGTTACCAAGGCAACCTGTTTGGATCTGAGGGAAGACAAGAATTACTCCTACTGATTGGAATTAAGTATGGAGATTAGTATCAGCTTATTTATTCTCTTTTGTGCCTGGGTGGCCACTGGTTCCTGCAGTCAGCAGCAACATCTGACCTGCGCAACTGCACTCTGGAGCCAATGATAGTGGTGCTAAATCCTCTCAATTCTATTGTCTTACAGGAGGTTCTCAGCAGCTTGCAGGATTGGGCTCTATGTTTGGAAAATGTGTAACTATTGAGTACGTTAATGCTATTCAAGTTTTGAACAGCAAGGATCCAGATGAATTTAAATTTAAGATTGGAATATACAACCCCTGGTCATTATCCCTTGGGATGGACATTAAATTAATCACATTGCTGTTGCATGCAAGGCATTCAAGCATAGGCACTGCCAAGAACACAGGAGTCACATCAAGGATAAATTCACTTTGACTGTGAAGCTTTTCATAGAAAAACCACCAGTTCAGTTCACTTTTTAGACCAGAAACACAGCAACAAAATCCTTGCATTTTCTAGTAACTCAAAGTGCCTCCAGTTAGAATAATGAAAATGACTATGACCAATGAGATTAAAAACAGATGAATCAGAGTATCTATTAATAGAAGAACATCCCCACCTTCTGCAATGTTTTTCTTTCAGCTTCCATGGAGGTTTGAGCAGATTTGATTTCCATTGTGTGTTTCTTTACAAGATCTTCCAACCCCTTCACAAGCTGCTCCTTCAAACGCATTTTCTCCTCATCTGACTGTCGTTTAATTTTATGAAGTTCTTCTTTGTGCTGTTGCTTTATATCTTCTATTTCAGTAGCTGCAGCTTCCATGGGCTATAAAATACAGTGGCCTTATAATATAAGAAAATCAAGATAAAGTCCTGGAGCCTGAGCAGTCTACCTATTCTGTAGGGGATTTCCTGTCCTTCGAGGTGAATTCCATTGGACAACACTGGGTTCTTGTAAAAAAAAAAAAAAAAAGCACTCCCTTCCTGTGACATTTTAATGCTCCAGGGCTGTACACATCTTTTATAATCAAGCTTCTCACACTTTTTTCATACTGTGAGCTACTTCTGAAATTAGAGATCTCCTTATGGACAACTGCACTTTCATGGAGTTACACTACATATGAATTTGGTCCCTGCTATGTTTCTCACTCTAAGGGTATGTCTACACTATGAAATTAGGTCGAATTTATAGAAGCCGGTTTTATAGAAATCGGTTTTATACAGTCGATTGTGTGTGTCCCCACATAAAATGCTCTAAGTGCATTAAGTCAGCGGACCGCGTCCACAGTACCGAGGCTAGCGTCAACTTCCGGAGCGTTGCACTGTGGGTAGCTATCCCACAGTCTCCGCCGCCCATTATTGCCCAGGTGCAATAATCCAGTAGGGGGAGCTAACAGATCATGGTAAAGAGAGTTTGGATTAGATAATTTATTAGCGGGAGGCTAATTAGGGTCTATAAATTAGGGAGCTATTAGGGTCTATAAACTCCTTACTGGTGGGAGTTCATTATTTGAACTTTTTCTTGTTAAGCTTCTAAATGGAATCAAAATAGTTTCCTTTTTTACATTAATCAGCATCTTAGCCTTAGGAAGCATGCCTTGGTCCTCTCCCTTTTTAAGGGCTTGATCCTACAAGGTACGGAACTCCGCCCTGAACCAGCAAAGCACTTAAGTATAAGCCTCACTTTAAGCATGTGAGTAGTCCAAGTGAAACCATCCAAACTAGTCAAGTGTGTGTTTAAGTGCTTGGCTGGATTGGGCCAAGCACTCACTACCTGGCAGGACTGAGGCCTACACACACAATCCAAAGTCCACGGAAGTCTAAAGAAAGATCCCTGTTGATATCAATGCACTTTGGATCAGGCCTTATATGGGGTACCATGCCTTAAGAGGTCTGGGAGTAAATACCTGTGTAAGCACCTGTGTGGCTTCACTGCCTTCCTTGGTTTGGCTCTGTTTGGTGTAGGTCATTTGCTGCAGCTGCATTATTTGATTCTTCAATTCATCTACTTCTTTCTCAGCTTTGCTTTGGGAATTCAGCACAGTTTCCATTTCTTCTGCGGTTGTAAGATTTACATTTCAAACAACATACATCACTTGGGAGTTTACAACGTGACTGACTAGCAAGGGAAATATTTAACAATGACGTTAATGAGCAGCGTACCTGCTTTACTCAGTATTTCATTCTCCTGCAGCATGAGCCTCTCTTTGGCTACAGTCAGTTCTTCTTCCAGTTTTTGCACTGTGCTTTTGGACTCCAGAGTCTCTTGTTGAGACTCCTTAAGCTGTATTTCCAAGTCCTAAAATATCATAGGATATCACTTATTTCTTTGGCATCTTGCATATAGTCCATTTTATTCTCAAGTGCAGAGGTCACCAATCACCATTACTATAGAGTGATGTCTCAGACACTTGGAAACTTAGAGGTAAGCTAGTTAGTTCTGCCTCTGTCAAGCACTGCAATACCTCCAACATCTATTAGAGAGATTAGAACTTTATTTAAACCAGCTTCACTATTTGTCATCACACATGCACTGGCTCTGAAATAATAATAATAAATTTGCTCTAATATGGGGCCTTTCATCCAAAGGTCTCCAAGCATTTGTCATGCACTGAGGAAAAAAACTGAAAATTCATCACACTTAAACATCCTTTTCCTTTTATATTTAATGCATTTAATGGCTTTCCTTGCCAGTATTTGCTAATGACCAGAGATATTTGTGACTAAAGAAATTTCTTCTTCCAAGTCTGTCATATTGTAATGTGAAAAGTAGTCATAAGTATGTAACAGTACAAAAAGCCACCTTATGAAGGAAAGCTTTTTTGTGAAAACAAATATTAGCAAAATATTGGAAACTACATTCTGTGTAACTGTTCTCTTTTCCCCCAAAATTTATCCCACAGTGAGAGTTCTTCTTTAAACACTCAGGATAAGAGTCTAAGCTTATGTGAATCAGCATAGCTCCATTGGCTTCACAGGAACACCACCAATTTACACAGGCTGAGGATCTGGCCCTCAGAACAGATCTTCCTAATGTAATTTCAACCTGAGCCCCATTCAGCTGATACCAAAATCAGAAACAAAAAGCAAAAGACCTGAAACTGTCTCAACACCTCCAGTTCCTTTTTTTATTGCATGCCAGAAACATTGCATTTTCTTCCATTTAAATCAGTTTCTGCTACCATAAACTATTATGGTATGTGGAAAATTAATAGATATAAAACAGTTGCATGATATAATATGCATAAGCCATAGACAACACATACACATACACCAGCAGCATGAAGTCTTTTATACTTGTCCTATTAAGTGTATAATTACAATCTAATCTTTATTTCTGGGACCAAGTTCTAGGAAGTGTTGTTTCTATCCTTCAGCTTCTGCTTCTTTCAGATTAGCTAGTTCAGCAAGGCCCAAATTTAGCAAAGCATTAAGCGAATGCTTAATTTTAACTTCAATGGGGCTAAGCAGGTGTTTAAGATTAAGCATGTACTCAGTTTAAGTGATTTGCCAAATGGGGCCTACATCCTACAGGCCTTCTAGCAACTGTAAATTAAGAATTAATTAACTGTAAAACTAAAATTTGAAATATTACATTCTTAAGAACAGAAACGGGACCCTGAACACAGCTCAAGTAAGTGGGTTACATGTAGGAAAGGTCTGCAGGGGTCACTTCAGTGGGACTACTCACTTGCTATAAATTAACTACATGCTTAAGTACCTTGCTGAATCAGGGTTTGTGACTGAATCCCCCTGCCCTGACTGATAGAAGGGCTTACCCGCCTCTGTGGCATCACCCTCTCCCTCTTCTCTGGTGTATGTGGGAGAGGGAAGCAGTGGAGTCTGGACTCATTTCCCCATCTGGCCTTGTGGAATTCACAAAGAACAGGTGATGTGGCCTGGGGTTGTCTTATTTTTTTCCTTGAAGCCCCCTCCTCAGCAGGGATCACCTTTAAGGAGGAGTCTGTGCCTGTGCAGCTCACTCAGAGCTGTACTGCCAGGCAGTGAGGTGGGGACGGAGGGCACTTCAGTGGGGGGAAGGAGCTCCTTGTGTCTGGCCCTGGCCACCCATGAACCCTGTGAAGCTGTGAGGTTCAGGGCCTTGACGGGGGGGTAATCCTTCCCCCCCCCCCCCCCCCCCCCATCCCCAGTGGAACAGTGTGAGGGAATTTCTGTGAGGGGATCCTAATGATTTCCATATTTCCTCCTTCTGAGCCCCCTCCGACAGATTCTTCCCCACTGAGGAAGTGATCTGGCCTATTATCATCATTGTATTAGAATCTTCCAAGATGCACACTTTATTAAATGCTACCTAAATTGAGCGTCATGATTAGGAGCATACAGCATAAAGCAGCTGATGTCCAACTTGCTGTCTTGCTGGCTAGACGCTCTTCCCAAGAATGCACCTCATATTGAAGTGGATGGGCTGCTGATGGCCAGAGGGTGGGAGGATACACAGCTGCCATCCCCCATTCCTTGCATACCCCCTGCCACACGTTGGCAACATTACTGCCCCCTTCACCTAGCAGCTGAGGGGAGGATAAGTTTTCAGTCAAGACACAAGATTCACCTCTCTCCCCCTGTGCATCATCTACAGCTTTGAGAGAGGGTGCTGTTCAGGAAGGGTCCCCAATGGATTCTTAATTGTCTCTGAAACTCCGTCACTTAATTACGTTTCTCCCCCTTGCCTTCTGAGCTCTGTTAAACTTCTCTAGTGCTTACAAAGCACTTAACTCAAAGGGCTATTTATAGAAAGAAAAAACACTTTTATAAAACAGAATTTTAAAGACTTAGTAATGTGCTACTTTATAGGCAGATGGATCAGCATCTCCCATTCTACCTGCATCCTCTCCTTCAGCTTCTGGGAATGCTTCTTCAACTCATTTATCTTCTGGCCTTTCACCTCCAGCTCAGCCTCCAGCTTCTTCGCCTGCTGCCGCAAAGCAGCTTCCTGGGCCTCAGAGCTTTTCTTTTGCTCTGTTGCTCTTTGCTGGCACTGTTTCTGTGTATCGGCCACTGACTGCTGCATGGCCTTTTTCAAAGTCTCTTTTTCTTTCTTGTAAGAGGCTTGTAGTTTGCTGGCTTTCTGAGCATATTCTTCAGTTATTTTCTGGTTCTCCCTCTTGAGGTTTTCCATTTCATTAATTAGAGCCTGCAACTCTATGCTGCGTTTTTCATCTATTGTCTCCTTTTTATCCAATTTCTCTTGCCTAATTGGCTTACATTCATTTACCAGGCTCTCGGACTCCTGGTTGAAATGTTGAGGCTTGTTTTCAAAGTCTGTCTTCGTATCTAGCATCTCCTTGGAAAGGGTAATGATCCTTTCGGTATGGTTTGCCTCTGTTCTGAATGCCTTCTCTTCCACCTGCTTCTTGCCCATGGTAAATTCTGCTAAGGCTTCCTCCTTTAGCCGCGTGTGTTGCTCCAGTGTATCTTCAAGGGTCTGAATATGCTTTCGTAGCTCCTGCTGGTCTCCCACTTTGCATTTATATTGGAGAATGGTTTCCCTTGTCTCAGCAAGGAGGCGCTGAATTTCCTCTTGATGGGCTTCTTTAAGAGCCTGTATACTGGCCTCATGCTCGTCATTCTTAGTGTTCAAAGCATATATCACCTACAGACCGGGAATAGAACATTACAATAGCTTTTAATTGATGGTATTAAAGATTCAGCAATTGTATTCATCAATGTATTAAATTAATTTCTAAGGTGATGATCACAACAATTAAATGTAAACTGCTCCTTACTAGCAAGGAGAAAAAAGTGAAAATAACAGGCAGACACACCTCAAGCACAAATTAGAAAGCAACATCGTGAAGGGAGGAAAGATGACCCTGAGATTAAAATATGAGACTGAGAGCTGGGAAATAGAGCTGGGTCTATTCTGGACTCTAGCAAAGATTTCCTCAGACAACTTTGGCAAGTCACTTAGGCCAAAATTTTCAGGAGTGTCCACTGTACCTAGCTCAAAGCACAGGCCTGATTTCCAGAGATGCTGAGTTCACACAAATCCATTTGAGGTCAATGGAAGCGCTGGTTGCTCAGCACTGCAGAAATCAGGTTCTGGCTCAAGTTGAGCATTCAACAGCTGAGAAAGAAGTGGCCACTTTTAACATTGTTGGTCTTAAACTTTCTGTAATTTACTTTGCTCAGTCTATAAAATGTGGAGTAATAATTCTCTTCTCTCAGGGCTATGATTATTCTTCACTCAATATTTGTAAAGCTCATCCAGATCCTCATGTGGAAGGTACTATATAAATACAAAATATTGTTATTTTGAAATATCTATTAAAAATCTATAATGTATTGGAATGAAGGGTAGATTCATAGAATTTTTGCCTGAGCTGGTAAATTTCCATGATGAGCTTGCAAGGCTGTTATATGTGACTGCAAAATATTCAGTATTCTCTTTGAAGAGATACTTGGAGCCTAATCCCATTCTCAGCAAAGTCAATGGGAATTTTGCCATTGATCTTCAGGGACCGGGTTCAGGCCCATGGGACATAACTGTTATATTTTCTTTATTTTGTTATAGATGTTTTATTTTTTATTTTCTGCTTCAAGCTTTGATGTATCCCCAGACTGTTAGTAACAGTCACCCCCGTAAATGTCAAACAGACTGATTTAATACATTCAAAATCCCTTGTGATGCTCTAAGTCATCCTGTAGTATGTAAAATTTATGCATCAGCATACTCATGTTATTTACTGTTAGTGGCTTTCTGAACGGATTGAGCTAGAGGAATTTGTTAGGACTAACACATAGGTAATTGTGTTTCAAATGTATAAAGATCAGTATTGAACTGTGCTGCTACTAACATATACTACAGAAATATAGATGTCGTCATTTAGTACCCGTATGTCCCCCCACTAAAAGCCCTACAGGTAACATCTATGTTAGTCAGATACATGTGTCTGGTTATAATTTTTTCCATGGTTTTTTGCTTTCCTTCTGTTTATTAGCAGCTCCCTTTTCTGTATTTATTGGCAAACATATATAGTTTCTGGCACTATCAAGACAGGATCCTGGCGTAAATGGACTGATTTTGCCTGGACTTTGCCTGGCTGTTTCTGGATCCCTTTGTGAAATAGGATGTCTTTTCTCATTAAGCATGTTCATACAAAGTGATGGCATAAAAATATAGACTGGTGTCAAAACTCAAGTAGGATATTGATTAATATATTGACATGTGCCTGGAGTTTCCTGCTTTTATTTTTCATATCAAAAATTCAAAGCTCCTAGCTCTACATAAATATCTGGGAACTACATACATGATATGATAGAGATTATGGGCCTAACCGGAGCCCTCTGAAGTCAATGGCAAGACGCCCAATGTGCTTTTGACCAGTCATTTATAGCCAACAATAGCCTCAAATGCATTCATCTAGAGTCAGAATGACATCCAACTCTTTGGTCACAGTATGATCCCAGTCCTGCAATCCTTGGTCATTCCTCAGGCAAAACATCAACTGAGAGATCATGAGGAGCTTTGTCTAAGTAAGAACGGCAGGTCTGGGGCCTATATTTTGTACACCTTAATAATACCTTCAGATTTCTTCCAGACAGTTTGTTGGTAACGTGAGTCTGTCTGGTCACGTGTACAAGTTTTCTGTGCTATCCATAGTACTATTTTATATATTCCATAGTGTGACAGTCACACATTGGACTTCAGACTTCAGCTATCCATTGAAAAATAAAAATAAAAGCAGACATGCAAGTACTGCCTGCAGAATGTAAACTCATGCCCTGCTAATATTAAAGTCCATAGAGGGGCCTTAATAAAAATAATACAAGTACAGCAGTATCTGGGTATATTTCTGGATAAATATATGACAACAGACAGTGAAAGAATCATATTCCCAGAGCCAATCAAACCAACAGCCAAAAGTCTTTTGGCCATTATCTCCATTTAGACCTACATTTTAGCTTTGTATTACATCTTGTTAATTCTCCCCTGTTATTTTTAACTGTTTTTCAATGAAACAGAAATGCTTGGAAGTACTGAGCAGATTCTTTCTCCTCTGAAAGTGCTAACCTAAGTCAGTTTTGGAACGTACTTAATTATTCAATAGTCTGCTCGAAAAATAGGGGGAAGGGATTCATTCCATCCATGTACTTTGCAAATGACCAAAGTAACTTGTTTGGGTAACCCTTCAATTAACAGGGTCAAGACATCCACTCACGTCTTAATGCTGAGTTCCTGTGTTGAACTCTAGTGTGCCACCACTACTTGCCTCCTATTCAGTTTTGTTGTTGCTCACAGTTGAGCTTGGGCTACTCCTTGCCCCCACTGGCTATTGTGAAATTGGGCTTTAGAGGAACCCAGATTCCACTGAAGGTTAGAGCAGGTACAAAGGAATGGGAGTCAACCTGCACTAGTGGGAATAGCCAAAGTCGTAGTTGGTTTAGTTGCCCAAAAAGGCTGGGAGACAATGGCTTATTTACTCATTGTGGCCATTTAGAAATTATTGGTATCCTGTCTTTTATTGGTGACTAGAACCACTATGCAAGTATAATTTTGATTTAAATATTGTTAGGTTTAAGGGAATCACATTTTCAAAAGTGACTAGTGGTTATGGGTACCTCAGTTTTTGGGTACTCAAATTGAAATGACTTAAAGGATGTTGATCTTCAGAGGGCAGGTGCTCAGCACTTTCTGAAAACGAGTCTCAGATTAGATGCCCAAAATCATTAGTCCTTTTAGAAAATTTAAAATATTAATCTTATAAACAGTTAATCTTGCCTAAATAAGAAAACAAAAATCAATTTTTATTAAATGCTAATGCCCAAAGACATCCAAGCCCCGTAACGAAAATGTAATTGACAACAATGTCCCAATTCTAAAAATAACATAAAATAAAATAATAATAATAATAAATTTAGAACTCCCAAAAAATATAAAACTCAGCCCAGCAAAAGAAACCCATATAGATAAACCAAAAAAGAAAATTAAAAAACATTTTAGCCTTGCCACAGAAAAATCATTCCAAAGTCATGGGCTTTTGATGGAGAAGCCTCTGTGTGCACTGTGAGATGCTCTAACCCAATCAATCAAAAATGCTCTCATAGAGGGTATGGGAAGCAGTCAGGTGGACTGGTCCTGTTATTTATAGCTCAATATACCAGAAGGAAGACACTAAAGCATAATTGCTGAAGTATAAGCAGCCATGTGCAGTTAATGGAGCAAAGGTATCATCAGCTAACCTGGTGTAAGCCTCTGTGAAACTGCTCTGCTGCATCCTAGTTGCAGTTTAAGTGGTTTTCAAAGGCAACCCTAAATAACCAATCAGTGTGACAGCAAAGACTGAACCACCTTGACCTGGACAGATGATTATATTGTTCTTTGAATCACCAGCATAATACCTAGGCTACTGCTGCCATAGCAATTCTCCAAAGCTATGTGTGCACTAAGAAATTTCTTACCTATTTTTCTGCAATTGAGCAGAGTTAGATGACATGCTGATAAAAACACTGGCACACAATATACACCAACGCATTACCAGTGCAATGGATAATAAACCTTAATACTCCCACTTTATTATTTGATTTCTCTAAATCATTTGCTGTTATTAAATCTGGTCATTAAAAATGGTAATTAAAAGAAACATCAAATTTCACCTCAGCAGTGGAGATGGGGTTAACTGGCTCACCGGGGAAAAAAGCCTGATTTGTGTATACAGAGAAGTGTCAGGCACATTATTCTTGTAGGAACTTGAATGCCAGCACTGAAGGAGCTGTTCCAGCAGGTTGCTTCATTAGCTGGATAAAAGGTGTCAGAGCGAGGTGTTAGGAAGGAGATGAGAATCAAAGGAGAACAAAATCATAGTGATTGTGATACTAGAGGCAATCAGGATTCAAAAATATGTTTTTAGGCTTGGAAGGACTAGATTTTTGTTGGTAAAATTGATTTCACTGTACACACACAAACCGATGGGGAAAAAATCCATTAATTAATAATAAAAATATACAGCTAGACAAAGTAAGAAAAATGCTGCTTGAAACTTCATTAGAGTTTGATTTAAGGTGTTTTACTTTGTCATATAACGTTGACAATTTGTATTTTAACAGTTATTAAGCTTTAACATTTTGAATCCCAACATCTACTGTCATTCAATAATTATTGTCTGATCCCCAAGTTGTCCAACCCCCATAATTTCCTGCAACTGAGAACTTAAATTGATGAAAACAGAAAAAAATGCTTAAAGAGAAACATTATATTATACATATTGAATTCTGAGAAGCCTAAATATGTTAATTAACACCTGCCTAGCACCTGTCAGGAAAATATACCACTTTAAACTAGAGTTGTTGATTAACTCAAGTGATTAACTAAAAAAAATTAATCGCGATTAATCGCAGTTTTAATCGCACTGTTAAACAATAAAATACCAATTGAAATTTATTAAATATTTTGGATGTTTTTCTACATTTTCATATATATTGTATTGTGTGTTGTAATTGAAATCAAAGTGTATGTTATTTTTATTACAAATATCTGCACTGTAAAAATGATAAATAAAAGAAATAGTATTTTTCATTTCACATCATACAAGTACTGTAATGCAATCTCTTTATTGTGAAAGTGTAACTTACAAATGTAGTTTTTTTGTTACATAACTGCATTCAAAAACAAACAATGTAAAACTTCAGAGCCTACCAGTCCACTCAGTCCTACTTCTTGTTCAGCCAGTCGCTAAGACAAACAAATTTGTTTACATTTACAGGAGATAATGTTGCCTCTTCTTATTTACAATGTCACCTGAACATAAGAACTGGTATTTGCATAGCACTTTTGTAGCCAGCATTGCAAGGTATTTACGTGCCAGATATGCTAAACATTCGTATGCCCCTTCATGCTTTGGCCACCATTCCAGAGGACATGCTTCCATGCTGATGACGCTCGTTAAAAAAATAATGCATTAATTAAATTTGTGACTGAACTCCTTGGGGGAGAATTGTATGTCTCCTACTCTTTTTTTTTACCCGCATTCTGCCATCTATTTCATGTTATAGCAGTCTTGGATGATGACCCAGCACATGTTGTTCATTTTAAGAACACTTTCACTGCAGATTTGACAAAACACAATGTGAGATTTCTAAAGATAGCTACAGCACTCAACCCAAGGTTTAAGAATCTGAAGTGCCTTCCAAAATCTGAGAGGAACGAGGTGTGGCACATGCTTTCAGAAGTCTTAAAAGAGCAACACTCTGATGCGGAAACTACAGAACCCAAACCACCAAAAAAGAGAATCAACCTTCTGCTTGTGGCATATGACTCGGATGATGAAAATGAACATGTGTTGATCCGAACTGCTTTGGATTGTTATCGAGCAGAATCTGTCATCAGCATGGATGCATGTCCCCTGGAATGGTGGTTGAAGCATGAAGGGACATATGAATCTTTAGCACATCTGGCACGTAAATATCTTATGATGCCGGCTACAACAGTGCCATGAGAATGCCTGTTCTCACTTTCACGTGACATTGTAAACAAGAAGCAGGTAGCATTATCTCCTGCAAAGGTAAACAAACTTGTTTCTCTGAGCGATTGGCTGAACAAGAAGTAGGACTGGACTTGCAGGCTCTAAAATTTTACATTGTTTTATTTTTGAATGCCGGGTTTTTTGTACATAATTCTACAATTGTAAGTTTAACTTTTATGATAAAGATATCACTACAGTACTTGTATTAGGCGAATTGAAAAATACTATTTCTTTTGTTTTTTATAGTAAAAATATTTGCAATAAAAATAAATATAAAGTGAGCACTGTACACTTTGTATTCTGTGTTGTAATTGAAATCAATATATTTGAAAATGTAACAAACATCCAAAAATATTTAAATAAATGGTATTCTATTATTGTTTAACAGTGCGATTAATCGTGATGAATTTTTTTAATCACTTGATAGCCCTAGTTTAAACCAGGCATATATTTACAGAGTTATGCAAACTCTTCACAGCATGGGGAGAGGCCAAACTTCAAATACTAACTAGTTAGATATCTGTTCACTGAGGCCAGGTGATTGCATCACCTGTTTCCACTAGCAGAGACAGCATCTCTCATCTCCACCAATAGCAGCTAAGTTTGTCGCCATTAACTCTACATTGTCTACTGTCCAAGCAGATTACAGTAGAGCATATTTCATTATGTCAGCCTGAAAGGAGCTACTTTCCAAAAATAATACAATGAGTTTTGTAGCAAAGTCTCCCTTAGTAAAAGGACAGGCTCCGTCTTCCTCTGCCTGTGTTCTAGCTATAACTATATAAACGGTACAAAACTAAACCAACAAATTCATTTCACAAATACCCCAAATAAATATTTTAATGTCCACACAGACATCCTTTCCCCATATTTTTTATTCATATTCAAGCAGAAGGAAGATATTCCTATGATGAAGGCACAGGCCTGAGATCCAGAAGTTCTGTGATCTGATTTTCCACTGCAGTACTCTTATGCCAGTGGACCTTCACGGATTTCAGTGGAGTTCCACTCATATGAACTTGGAATAGTGCAGTGGTGAATCAGACCCCAGAGTTCTATTCCTGGCTCTTCCACAACTTCAGAGTATAATCTTAGGCAAATCATCTAGGCCCTGATCCTCAAGAGTTATTTAGGCACCTAAATACTTTTGAGGTTGTGGGCCTTAGTCACTCTTTGCTTCAGTTTCTTGATCTGTAGAACAGGAATAAGATTTCCCTTCCTCACATGGGGTGTTGGGAGGATACATTCAAGTGCTATAAAGAGCTTTGACATCATTAGGAGGAATTTTTAACTTCCTGCCTTGGTACGTTGGGTGCTGCTGCTGCGTACTGTTAAACCTTCTCTGAATTTCAATCTGGAGGGTCACCTCAGTCCACATCATTGCAGTTCAATGGTGGGTGAAATTAGTTTTATACACATATAGGAGCAGATTCAGACCTGATGTATCCAAATGCCACGTCTCTGGCCTATAGTCTGTAATTCAATACAATTCCTTTGCTAGTGTGCTAAAAATAGAAGTTTGTCCAGGGGTAGCATGGCAGGAGGCTTGGGCTAGCTGCCCCATTATGTACACAGAGGTCCAGGTGGGTTTGTACTTGGTTGACGAGTCCAAACTGCTGCCTGTGCTACTCCAGCTACACTGCGAGCAGAGCTAGCATGTCTGTGTCTGCTCAAGCTGGGAATGGGAAGCATGATCCCAGCTGCAGTGTACACATACCCATAGGTAACATTATGCTCATCAATAGTCCTACTGAATAATGGTAAAGTGACTCACATTTGTATTCGCAGTATTGAGGCCTTTGAAGTACTGTCAATCTCAAGCATTCAGAAACCATGAGTCAGTCCCCCAAATCATGAGACTGACTTAAAAGTCATGAGGTTTTTTTAAAAATATAATAAATTTGGGGTGCTTTTTACTTGCCTTCTGGTTTCTGAACCTTTAGGATGAACTCGGGTCATGTTTTCAGGTTTGCCTTTGCAACCACGAAGGCTAGAAACTTATTTTTTAATTCTCCTGAAATCTCTTGATTCCAAAAGCTACAGAAAAAAAATTACCTAATGTCACAAGAGTTGGCAACACTGCTTTGAGCATGCAGGTTGACAGGTTACATAAATTCAAGTCGCTATTACCACATCCATGAGAGAGATTTTGCAAAGTACAACTCCACTTGTATATAAGAAACAAATACAGCTCACTCTCTGACCGTAGCTCACTTACTTGCCTATAGTAGATGAAACTGTTCCATCATAGTCCATTAACGTTATCGTGAATCACCACTGATCTTAGTGGTGTTGACTTCTGTTTACCAGCACATAATGAAGCAATCTTATATTAAGCCTTTATCCATCAACCAACACTTTATTAAAACTATTCTAGCAAAATTTCACCATCCAATTATGTGATTTTATATCCTGGAAATTCCAATGTATGCCCTTTTCTCCTGCATGAGCTCTATATTGCTATCAATAATACATATCAGCAGAGGTGCATTAAGAGATTCTAAGCATAGAGTACTTTGCGTCAGATTACTAGTCACTCTCTTTTGCTGTGTCTGTTGCCTAGGTTGTGCCTCCTCCTTGTTCTTGTTAAGATTTTGGAAAGGTGGGGGAGGAGGAAGAGTATTTTTTTTTTTTTGCATTCAATTGAAATTTTATAAATTAAATTAAAATGTTTTTGCTCACCTAAAGTGCCCCAGAAACCAGACAAGCACATACATTCGTCTCCCTCCTGTGCTCTTTTTGCTTATCTGAGCTGAAATGTTCCTGCACTCCTAAGATTAATATTGGACACATAGTGCCCAAGTTGTTTATGTCCTCAGCAGTCTATCATTCTGCTAATCACATTAAGGTCTATGAATAAAAGTGAGGCCAGCTGGATGTCTCTTTTGTGAAATATAGACGTGTGCTAAATTTGCCCTGTATTCGAAATAGCTGCTCAGCCAGTTTAAGAATTTGCAAAGTAAAAATGTACTGCAGTAGTGGTACTTTTAAGTTTCCAGGGAAGGAGAGGTGGTGAAAAAGGCACCAGCAGTAGAGTATCCAAATAATTTCAGGAAAGGAAAAATAAATCATAGAATCAGAAGGTCTAATCTAGGACACAGAGTCTTTTGTGCCCTTCACAGCCTGCCTAAATGCATATTGTGCAGTTGGGATTAGCCTTTGGGGACGTGTGATAGTGTTTATGCAGCCTCAAGTTCCTCCCCATGTCCAGAGGTAGAGTCACAAATTCTATCCACCATAACTTTGGGCACATGCAGTGCCAGGAGTGGGCCTTTCATGGATGACTGACAATTAGCTAGGAAATCTTAAAGAAGAAAGAATTCCTTGCTCACAGTTCTGAAATGGAACTATCAGCAAGGCAAATTAGATAAGACCCCCTGGAACTCACAGTGAGGAAAGACAGAAAGGGAAACTCCAGCAACTCCCTCTTCTCTCCCAAACAGCTCTCCCTGCACAATAAGCATTTATTTTTGAACAACAAAGGCTCTGGTCCTTGTCTGTTCCCACAGAGCAGGAGGAAAGCCCTACAGAGAGGGAAGATCAGGATGGATGGATGACGTCTCAGAGGCAGAAAGCTCGAGTTCTCCACTCATCTCCGCTCCATGGTTTACTCCTTTGACTTTTGTGCACTGAGGATTTAGTCAGACCAAAGTGCAGCCACTTCATGTGGTCCAGTAGGGTTTATAGAGATCTTCCCACCCTGTAAAGCAAGGTAGGAACTGGAGACACAGATTAGGGACAGAAATGAGCCATCCTGTCAATACCTCTGCCAGTGCAGGACTCCTACATAATCCACTGTGGAGCAGCTTTTTGCTTCCTTCCTCCCAGATCTTTTTCAATATTACAGTTTTCCAGGTTTCTCCTTCCCATTCAATAGCCACATTTTGGATTAGTTTTCTCCACATGTGCTTGCGTGCAGTTTTCCAACCTGAATCCAGTTTTGTTGCTTTCTGTCCATATTTCCCCCCTCTGCAGTTCCTTTTGTTTTATTTCTCTTCCCTCACTGGTGTTTGCGATTCCACATGACCTATGACTTTTCTTAACATAAAAAAATGAGGAGTCCTTGTGGCACCTTAGAGCAGTGGTTCCCAAACTTGTTCTGCCGCTTCTGCAGGGAAAGCCCTTGGCGAGCTGGGCCAGTTTGTGTACCTGCCGTGTCCGCAGGTTCGGCTGATCGTGGCTGCCAGTGGCCGCGGTTTGCTGCTCCAGGCCAACGGGAGCTGTTGAAAGCGGCACGGGCCGAGGGACGTACTGGCTGCCGCTTCCAGCAGCTCCCATTGGCCTGGAGCAGCAACCGTGGCCAGTGGGAGCTGCGATCGGCCGAACCTGCGGACATGGCAGGTAAACAAACCGGCCTGGCCCGCCAGGGGCTTTCCCTGCACAAGCGGTGGAACAAGTTTGGGAACCACTGCCTTAAAGACTAATAAATGTATTTGGGCATAAGCTTTCGTGGGCTAGAACCCACTTCATCAGATGTATGAAGTAACAAATACAGGAGCAGGTATAAATACATGAAAGGATGGTTGTGCTTTACCAAGTGTTAGGTCAGTCTAATGAGATAAATCAATTAACAGGATACCAAGGGAGGAAAAATAACTTTTGAAGTGGTAAGAGAGTGGCCCATTACAGACAGTTGACAAGAAGGTGTGAGTAACAGTAGGGAGAAATTAGTATTGGGAAAATTAAGTTTAGGTTTTGTAAAGACCCAACCACTCCCAGTCTTTATTCAGGCCTAATCTGATGGTATCTAGTTTGCAAATTAATTAGTTTGCAAAGTCACTGTAGCAGGGTGGACACCCGCTCCTGCCCTGGAGGGTTTGAAATCAGCCCTGGGAGAGGGCTACAGCAGAGTAAGAGGGATTAAGAACAGCTGGGGAAGCTGAGTGAGTCACTGACCACAGCTGTGGCCAGCTTAATCAGGGCCCAGCTGGCCCTTATAAGAGGGCTGGGGTCAGAAGCTAAAGGCAGATTCTCTTTAGCTTTTGAGAGGGAGGGACCCGGCTGCAGAGACCTGAGCAGAGTACCTAGATTGGAGCAGGGCTGGGGAAAGGCCAGAGGAGTTCTGGCCTGGAAAGCCCCAGGCTGCAGGCCGTGCTAAAGACCCAAAAGGTACTGGGGTTGCAAAGGGGCAGCCCACGGGTAGGCAGAGGCAGCAGGTCCAAACCACCCCTTGCCTATGATGAGTGGCTCTTACACTGCAGTCTGCCGCAGTGAGCAGGGACTAGATGGTGACTGGCAGTAGCCCACAACTGAGGCAAGGTGGGGATAGAGGGTTGGGGGTTCCACTGGGTGGGGAGACCATGAGGCTGCGGGGGTACTGCCAGGGGGCAGCACCCCAAAGACAAGGGGCACCGGGTCCTGGGAAGGACACGGGGGCCTGCGGCAGCGGAACACCGGCCTGCAGAGGGCGCTCCAGAGGCTGGAAACGCTAATTCCCGGAGACGACTAGCAGGAGGCGCCGCAGGGGTGAGTCCCGCACTGTCACAGTCACCTATTACAAGACAGGCCCAACAAAGAAAGTAACAGAACACCACTAGCCGTCACCTATCCTGAAGGACAATCCCTCACTCTCACAGACCTTGGGAGACAGGCCAGTCCTCGCTTACAGTCAGCCCCCCAACCTGAAGCAAATACTCACCAGCAACTACACACCACACAACAAAAACACCAACCCAGTAACCAAATCCTGCTACAAACCCCGGTGCCACCATTATAGGACCTAACCACATCAGCCACACCATTAGGGGCTCGTTCACCTGCACATCTACCAATGTGATATATGCCAGCAATGCCCCTCTGCCATGGACATTGGCCAAACTGGACAGTCTCTATGCAAAAGAATAAATGGACACAAATCTGACATCAGGAATCATAACATTCAAAAACCAGTAGGAGAACACTTCAATCTCTCTGGTCACTCAATAACAGACCTCAAAGTGGCAATTCTTCAACAAAAAACTTCAAAAACAGACTCCAACGTGAAGCTGCAGAACTGGAATTAATTTGCAAACTAGATACCATCAGATTAGGCCTGAATAAAGACTGGGAGTGGTTGGGTCATTACAAAACCTAAACTTAATTTCCTCAATACTAATTTCTCCTTACTGTTGCTCACACCTTCTTACCAACTGTCTGTAATGGGCCACTCTCTTACCACTTCAAAAGTTATTTTTCCTCCATTGGTATCCTGCTGTTAATTGATTTATCTCGTTAGATTGACCTAACACTTGGTAAAGCACCCCCATCCTTTCATGTATTTATACCTGCTCCTGTATTTTTTACTTCGATACATCTGATGAAGTG